TCGGGACGTAAGTGGAGAAGAACATCAGGGGAAGGTACAGCAGCATAGGACGGGTTGACGGACAGGGGGCAGTGACGGCGGTGATCCAGTGCTCATGGGGGCAAAGGCAACTAGTCCAGGGAAGTCCAAAACGGGAAATCTGGGGCGCAGCCCAAAGTCAAAAACTGGGTTACCCATCCAAGACAAGACAGGGTTAAAATCCGGAACGGGATCCGGAACAGAAACAAGAACTTAAAAGAAAGTAACGAGGCCAGGCGTTCCGAGCCCCGGGCTCAGATAGTCTGGGGACGCCGTGAGGAAGCCGATGGTGTCGGGTCTCTCCTGGACCCGCTGGGAGGCGGACTTCTGGGGCGTCCATCTCCCAGCCAGGAATAGCGAGAGCTCCAGGCTTAAATAAGGAGATACAAGACAGGTGCGCATAATCAACTAAAATCCGAAAGGGTTGGAGTGCCCTTAAGAGGGATGAGGATCGTGACACACCCTGCCCGGATCAGCTTTTTTGGAACAGTATTTCACAGGTCACTCACGAGGAAATACGAATAGTACTAATAGACGATCTTGGAAAGCCTGTCAATGATTTCTCACCATCAAGAAAGGAATAATGGCTTTTATAAAGCTTTTTTTGTGTCGTATAACTACGGCCATAAAATCAAGATCCTGCTTAAAATTCCAGGTTTTAAATGGATGCTTTTTCAAATACGTGTAGCTCTGTAGTTGCATTTTTTGAGACAATATTTCCAGACATACAATTCCACATACACCTACAGAAATATTTTATCCCTTTAGTACATTTCTGACCATGTGAACTAAAAAGCTGGGATAGATCTAAAAAAACTCCATCTGTTCTCTTTTTAAAAAATACATGCAGCAAAAAAAAATTAGTTCAACAATACTATAAGAAACACAGGGACTTCCTTCTGAGACTGCAAACATTGATTTGTCCAAACAAAAAAATGCAGTGCAAGGGCTGTATCTAACCTGTCAAAGGTTTTGCCATTATTTCCTTGACAGAAGGTTGCAGCCACTCCTGTCGATGGACTGCATTACTAATACAAGCACTGTATGGCTGTAATGTATTACTAATACCATACTATTTAATACAATGACTCAGCTCTTGTAAAAGTGTGAGACATTCATGCCGCCAGCAGTGGCTTTTTTTTATAAAAGAAGAAAAGGCCCTGTGGATGACGTTACTCTGCCGAGTGTCCTTAGTTAAATGATGGTAGCTGCAGGTGACCTTTGACCTTTGAGAGTCTAATGCTCTGGCCCAGCTGTTCACGATCCCTGACAAACTGCCAAGTAGTCCCCAAGAGAGCAGCTTCCTCCTCTTTCATAACAACAAATGACTCTGTTTAATATTGGGTTATCCCTGACTCCTCAATTGAATTTGAGGGCAAAAAGAACTAAGGGCCAGAATGTATGCTGTACAGTATCTTGTCCCAGGCAGGGAATTCATTCCTCTGTGTAAGGATTTGCATTTTTATGTAGGTCGCCTTGTTTGAAATGGGAAAGTTATTGTACTTTTTGCTTTTTAACCCAGTTAGGCATGGACCCTGGATAAAAACCGGTTTTGATTATGGAAGCCCACATGCAGTGAATCGAATGTCTGTCCTTAGATATTGCAATATCTGCGTAACTGCGTAACGTAGTATTACTAAGCCTTATAAAGGAAAATGTTCGATTTTTAGAGTGGAAAAGAGAATTTGGAAAAAAAAAGTACCGTAATGTAGAGTCTTTTAACCTTGATTTCCATTTACAGATGTTGCTTTGCGTCTTTAATCATGTGAGGATTGTGAATTCTCATTGAGCAGGCGTGCAGATGTTTTCAGTTTTGAAAGGGTACCTCTAGATGAAGTGGGATACCCAACACAAGTGTCTCCACGTGGCTTCAGGCCATTGTAGAATGTATTTTTTCTATCTCTGAGATGCAGAACGTTCTCACCTCACGATCAATGGGTTGTGAAATAAACAGCCACCAGATGTCTGAATCTAAGTCTCCCGCTGTGAGATTATAGTTGTAGTGCTGCTTTTCGTATGAACCCTCAAGGTAACTCTTTTATTATTCATATTATTTTATTATGGAATTTCCAAGTGACTAACAAATAGATAACTGACAGGATGTGTTAGGTAATGTTTACTTTTACAATTTCTTCCCTGCAAAGAGTCACCATTAAGAACTAGAGTTTCACTCACACACACACACACACCACACACACACACACACACACACACACAATACTGCTGTGGGCAATATTTTTCATTTAAAGTTTAATACTGACCTGGTGATGTAGCAGGCACGAGTGTGAGACAGTATGAGTGCGGTATAAAATCAATATGGCTCTTGGGCAGTTCACAGCATGTTTTTCTTGTGGGAATAGCAAAAGAATCACATTGATCTGCATCCACATGAAAAAAGCAATAGGCCTAATAATTAAAAGTATGACTAAGGTACCGGGTTATTGATCTGAATAATGATATCATTGTTTATAGAAACAATAAGTGCAGTATCAGTAGTGTACCTAGAAACCAGACTAGCAAACTATAGTATACAGCTCACACCTGAAGAAGGCTCCACGGCCAAAACATTGTGTTTTCTTCTCTTCTCTGCTCGGCATGGAATAAACCTATTACTTGTTCCTTTGCAGCCTACGCATGCTGACGCAGCTGCCCACCTGAGCTGTTTATGTTGTTTTCGTTAGAAAACCATCCCTGATTAGCACTATATGTATGTATGTTGCTTGCCAATTTCAATTTAGCCTATAATGTACTGCACATTAACAGGACCACTGAGAGCAGCAGAATGGGGCAGAGTGGCAGATAAGGTTGGTTCGTTATCCACTATTTTCCACAGAGACATTTAGTTTTTATCTTCATGATTTCTATTTATAGACTCCTATGGGAGTGCAGGTGTATAAATCCCTTACAGATTTCTGTATAAAGACTGAGCAGCCTCTTAAATTAAACAGGATTGTTCTATATCGATGATGTAGTGTCTGGTATGGTTAGTTAACTTCTTAAACTTACAGACCCTACCAACATAGAGGGGTTAGCATATACTCGAGAAGCAGCAAATGAAATATGCTGTAGATAAAATGTAATACTGGGCAAACCCCAGAGTATTACATGCAGGTAGGAAACATAAACTGTAAATACACAATGGAAAACTCTTAACTGGCAGCAAGGAAAAAGACATAATTGTTGTTGGCAGAGCATTTACATCTTTGTCATTAATTAATCTAATTTATAACTAGTGCTTACTGGTGCTTGTAGCTGATCAGCTTGCTGGTATCAATGTCCATAGGGCTTCTAATAATAGAAGAGTCGCAGAGTCTCAGACCAAAACAAAACCAGAGAGGCTCTAAGAAAAGACCTCTGATGTCACTAAGAGAGTTCGACAGCCCACTTAGAGATCATTTGGTAAATTTTTGCTTGGGGTTCATGCTTGGTCATATACTGGTGGTAATGCGTAATCAAGCATCTGCATAATGTGAAAAGGCCCCTTCTCTCCTTTGTTTTTTTTTTTTTAAACCTTGCACAACGTTTCACCATGCTAATGCAGCCTGCAGCTTGTGCCCCAGAGTGGAGGCAGCAGAACGCTTTGTAGTTCAGAAACAACTGATGTGGAATTACTGCGGATTGTAAGACTTAAGCCTTCAGCAGGCTACTCAACCAGATAATTGAGCCAAAAGTTTTCCATTTGATATGGTTAATTTGTACTGTTTCACTTTTTTGGGGGTAGAATGATGTTCCCTTTCCCAGAGAGAGATGTGCCAGTGGCTGTTGTGTTTTGTTCATGCATGTGTTTCATTAAACCAGGAGATGTTCTACTATATCTGGACAAGCACTGATCTGTGACAAACAGACTACGTGTGGACATCGCACAGTCTGCAGCGTCCGAAAGAAAGGGGAGAAGGGTTATTTGTTGAACATTGTACCTGGGCCCGAGCTCGAGTGCACCACGAATCGCACTGCAGGCCGGCTCTGTTAATAGCTCTATTGATGACAAAGATGCTTTAGACAGAAGGCGTGAGGTTTGTGCACTAAGGGCTGGGGGCTCTGTACTGACCTAAAGTGCTGTTCATGTTGCATAGTTCCTGCCTGGGCCCAGGCAATTTCCAGCCACACATTTCAAGAAACTTCATGCAACTTCACTTACTGTACATGCTCCTGAACATCAGCTTGAGCAGCATTCTGTATTATCACCAGAGCCGTCTCAGGTTTCACACAAGCCTGCAGACTGGTAAAGAGGTGCTGGTCTTGCATCTCTTCTGATAGTCCTCTTCTGGATATCACCTGAGATATTCCTGCCTCTGACATCTTTCGCCTTGCACCCGTGTTGTGACCTGGTCTGCATGGTAACGGAGGCCTCAGAGGTGAAAGGTCAGGGGATATATTTCAGTTGACAACCGGATCTCTCTCTATCTCTGACAGGCCACAGTTCGGTGAGGTAACTGCTGAATGTTATCCACAATATTTGAATAACCTCGTCTGCTGTGGCTCTGCCTCTCGGATGACATCCTGTCGTCACTCCAGCGAATGTCGGGGCAAAGATACAGTATATTGCTGCGGAACATATTTTTTTTTCCTTAGCCTCTTTTTTCCAATAATCAAAATACAAAAAAAAGTAAACACCCCCAAGGGGGGATTTCAATACTTCTGGATTGCTTACAGTTTAAACTTTTTGTTAGAACCAAACGGATGCGCAGTCTATGATGATGAAGAGTAATTGATTTAATCTCCATTGGAAATGAATGTGTCTAGTTTTGCGTGCACAAAGAGGGGTTTTGGCATTGCATTATTAAGTAGAAACACTAGTGCAGCCCACGGGATAAAAAGCTCAGGTTTATCTGCTTCTCTTACTGTGGTTTGCATCGTTCATCAAATGACAGGGGCCGGCTGGGACGGCGCTGCAGAGCGCTTCTGCGTTTCAGTCGCAGGCGGCGCTGACGCGCCAGCGGCGTCGTTCCCTTTCTCACCCTCTTCTCTTCTCCCTTTTGCAGCCACGCCGGGAGACCCAGCCAGGCTGACCATGGGGCCGGTGCAGGCGGCGGCGGCGGCGGCGGCGGCAGCGGCATCGCGGGGAGGGTTGACCCCTACCGTCTGGCGACCCACGAGAGCCCCCGACAGCAGCCGCCCTCCCCGGGACAGGCGCAGGCCCCCCGGCGCTCCCTACAGGTGGACATCAGCCAGAAGGCGGGGGGGAGGTCCCCAGCGGCCTCGCCCGACAGAGGCAGCGCCGCCACCTCCCCTTACTCCGTGCCCCAGATCGCCCCCATGCCGAGCAGCAGGCTGTGCCCCGTGTGCAACACGACGGACCTGACGGCCTCCCAAGACCAGCCAAACTTCAACACCTGCACTCAGTGCCATGCCATGGTGTGCAACCAGTGTGGCTTCAACCCCAATCCGCACCTCACTGAGGTAGATACCGCGCCTGTCTCGATGTCAACCAGCAACGTGCTGCTGTTCCTCTCTCAGCTCGCCGACGTGCTTCACTTTCTTCTCTCTCCGTTTGGGTTTGCTGGGGTTATACAGGACTGATGTGTCCGTCTTTTTTTTGGGGGGGGGGGGTTTAGAGCCGGGCAACTTGATTTTTCTCTCGATCATTTTGCTCGTGATGATCGCATGAAACTGCGTCGCGGCACATGGTAAAGCGCTACTGGGCTGTCGATCGGTCTCTCATTCCTGCAGACGTTCTCTCAGTCCTCCAGCTGATTCATAAGCCGGTCGGGATGTCAGTGAAACTAACTGAAGCTCTTCTAATATATGTAGGGGATCTCAATGCCGATCTGTATTAAAATCAAGGAAATTTTCAGCCCATCAGGCTAATTCATGTTAATAGCTTTTTCTTAACGAGCCCGAGGCAGTCTTGGGTGTCATGAAGTAGTGCAAGCAATTGCACTGGCGATATAATCACCTCTGCTAATGTAATTGCATCAAAGTTTGATCAACCTGAACTGACTTGGAATTTTACCAACATTTTTTACAGAATTTAAGGTCGCCCAATCCTGTAGAAATGAGAACACGGAGAAATCCGCAACTAGAAATGAAAAAGGTTATTTCGAATCGCAAAACTCGTGATTCACACCATTCAGCTTCCCCTGACTGGGCAGCACTTGGGCCTTGCAGTATTCCTCTCTGAAATCAACCTGTGAACCAGCTGAATCACTGGTGCATTTAGAAAAGGCTTCCAGTTCGAAACAATAGCAGGTAATGGATAAAACAGAGAAGAGGCTTCAATACGTTTTAATTAACTGCTTTTCACTCAGAAGACCGCATACAGACTCTCTTGTTGACTTGATATACTTAACCCAAACCCTGGGCAAAAGTTTTAGGTAAGGCCGAGTATTAGTGAATTTATTCCTACTGACGCATCACACACTTGAGCAAGTAGTCAGAGAGTCAGAAGAAAGCCTTCATGTCTCATAGTCTTCCGAAAGCCTCTTCTCTCTCTTGTAAACCTTTAATAAGCAGATGTTCCTGAGTGGCTGAATCCTGCTGGACGGAGTTTAATTCAAGTAGTCTTTCCCTGAGGTCATTAGGTGGTTTTGAGACTAAAGGTTAAGATTGGCTTGGCCTTGTCAATCATTCTTTCCCTTGACTTGAACAAACATAAGGCTATGAAAAACAGTTTAGTCAGTTCATCACGTACAGCAGCTTAAGCAGATATGTTTTTTTCTTGTTCAAGAGCTGTTGAACTCGAGTTTTCATACTAAGCACCTTATGGATCCAATCCAGTAAACAGTACTTGCTGTGTCTTGGAATTCACTTACCAATCACTTTCCTAGTTTATTATAGTCCTGAAGACTGGCTAAAGGCCTGTTACTTGGTCACTAAAGCGTGTGTCAGGCATTTGATGCCGAAACTAGCAGCTTGCACCCATGCAGAGAACGGCGATGATAAATTCAGGCTAGTCCGCTGAAACAGCAGAGCCATCTTTCAGATGCAGCCTACCAGAGTGTTTCTGGAGACGTGTGTGAAGGAGCCCTGGCAGAAATTCATCCCCTGCAAGACAAAGGTGCGTCTCTGCTTTTCTGCACCAAGCGCAGAGAGGCGATTCCTTAGCCTGGCGATGTTTCAAGAGCAATCCAGGGGATTCTTGGTAACGCTCCAGCTGGGAGCCACTGGAGAATTGACAGGAGTTGTAATTGGAGGTTGATTACAGGGTTGTCAAAGCCACTGTTAATGGTAGATCCCTTAGGGCTACAGACGTAAAGATGATGTGGAGGGAGATGGCTGGTTGAGAGTCGAGGTTATTTGCCTTCAGCTTGTCTGTAAGAGGTGACGCACAATCAACGTTTGTAGCGCTAGTGAGAGAATAAAAACGAATTAAACCCGTTGGTTTAAATGGACTAATGTGGATTACAAGTGACGAGAGTGAATGTAGAAATTAAAATTATGGCGACAATAGACTGATCACAAATATACTGAGAATGCAGAAATACTTACCTGCAGCACGCAGCCCATCTTTTAGCTGATATGATTCCTTCACTGTGTGCAGTCATTTTAGTGATCTGAGGGCCCAGTGAGTGCAGTAAAGCCTGCTCTCATATCTTGTGTCCTCAACCCCTGCTTTGGAACTGACCAGTGGTTGCCTTTTTCTTAATGTAGGATGATCCAGAACTCTCTTTTTGTATGATTCAATCCATCCCCATAAAAGAAGCTGAAAATTTTTTTCATTTTCTTTTTCTTTAATTCGTTGCTATGCATTTATTTTGCTTGCTCAGTTTGTTCAGAATTTTCAGAATTGGGCTGTTGCTAAGTAGGGTTACAGATAAGGTCTTTAAGGAAAGGGTATCGAAATCACAAATGTACTCCCATATCATTATTCTGCAAGGGGGTGCAGTTAGGTGACCACAGTGGGGAAACTGGAATGAATTGTGAGATGAAATACATGCTGCATTGTATTCTTTCTAAGAATTTTCTGTCCCTGCAGAAGGCTGTGTATTGATCTGTTCTTGAATTTGCAACTGCACTAATAGTGTCTTCATGTAATCACATTATCACCAAATGGAGAATGTGTATGAAATAAAGCACTGTAAATTAAAACGATGGACCTCCATATAGACCAAACATGCTCAATAAAGCACTGTAATTGTATAGTTAGGTCATTGCTCTGCGGAGTAATGTCAGTGGTGTTCTGACACTACCTACCTTGTAGGATTTCACAGGGATCATAAACCTACTGTATGACATAAAGTGAGGTGCTTTGGCCATTAAAGGCTTTGAAATTGATCAGATAGAAACTTTAAGTGCTGAAAAACTTTGCAGTGCACCAGGAAAGAGCACAGGTGCTGTTAAAACATAGCACACACACAGGGGCAGGTTGCTTGTGCTTGACTCTTAGTCACGGGGCGAAAAAATAGCTCATATTTTGCTGAGCACAATTAGCACTGCTGAACTATTTGTCCTCTCATCTTCAAGCTGCAGTCTGAGAATGTGAGCAGTGGAGTATTTCTACTCCACTGTGCTCTGAATTGTATTTGGAATCTGTGTTCTCTTTCGGGCAGCAATGTGACAGAACTGCTGCAGTTGTGTGTTCAGTCTGGGTTGTGTGGAGCTGTGTGACTGCTAACTCTTTCTGGATTTGTGTGGAAAGTGCAGACGGAACTCCAAAGCAATGAAGGTGGACAACATATCAGCAGATTGAGACAACGTCGCAGAAAGACTCTATTATTCTGGAGTCCTTGACAGTGTGCCATCTTCCTTTTTCATGCTCCTTCTTTCTTTGTTACATAATTAGGCGCAGCTCTTTTCCTGTTTCCTCCCATCAGATCTACTGCAGCTGTTGGTGAACATAAGAAAAGTAGGCTATTTACAGTTTTCGACGCAAATGCCTAAACTTGAATCAAGTGGGGGGAAAGCACATTAAAGCCGAAAGGTTTTTGCTTCAGAATGCAACTGTAGGCTCTAACGTGTCTGTAAGAGAGCAGCAGCCTGTGTAGTGTGCTGTGCCAATTCCTTTCAGAGCTGTGTCAGGATTCCCATTAGGCTGTCCACAGGGTTGTGACAAGGTACACGGGTGTGATATGAGTACACGCTCAAAAGAAATGAAAGGGCTGAGCACGGAAAACTCAGAAACCGCTTGGAAGAGGTAGTTAGAAGGATCTTTGCTCGAGGGGCAAAGTGTCATCTCAGAAGTGTTTCTACACATCCTACACTTTTTTCTATACTGTTTCAACATGAAACCCAAAAGGTCTGAGCTAATCTTTTTGAATCTGTGTAGCGGGGGTTCCAGGAGAGAGATTGAAACAATATGGCATGCTGTTATTTTTTTTTAAAGAAGGATTTGGAGAAATACCTAAGGACCACTAAGACTGATATAAAATATCAGCACTAATAACACACTGCTAATTCATAACTCCCATTTCCCTTTAACATTCAACTTTCAGATGATTTCTTCTTGACCTTGACATTGTAAGGCAGTGTCATGTGGGACACTTTCTGTTTTTAGTTCAAGCTGTTGATCCACAGCACCTCAAAGAGAGTAATGTTGAAATCAGTCTAGGTGTTTGTAGGCAACTCATTTTACTGATCAAAGTAAGTCTAGCTCCCAGTCTGTGTAAAAAGACAACTTTGAGAGTTTGCGACTCCTTGAAGACAGTTGCTCCATTTCAATGTCATCGACACTGAATTAATATGAAAAATAGGATTAATGGCATTTGTGAAGTTGAAAGATCTACTCCGTGTAACTGCTTGCAACTATCATCATTTTGTACCAGTCTCTCTCTTCAGCAGTGTAAACATGACCTGATTATTTACAGATGTTTTTTTTAAAGTTTCTTTGGCACCTCTTGCTTTGATAGCTGTCTCATGATCTGTCACTCATCACTTGCAGGAGCTGTTCAAACCAGTGACTGCTGAAAAGGAGACGTGAAACTTCATGTCATTTTTGTCTGTCCTTAAAAAATGGTGTTTGTTCTAAGAAATATGCCAGCTTGTTTTAACAAGAGAAAGCAACTGTTGCGTCTGCTGAATAATTTTGCACTATATGACATCATGAGTTTGGTAACTGGAGGCTGGAAGATAGGCTGGGTACTGGAGACTGCAGTCGTTTGACATTGGACTAATCTCTCTTGGAGTAAGAAAGCCTGCCTTTTACAATTTGAAATCCATTTATTAGGGCATGAATATGTAAGCCAATTCTCCTTAACTAAACTCCAACTGTTGGTATTTTCATTTATTTTTTATTTCTTTGGCAGAGTCTTTAATTCTGAGCAATTTGCATGTTATTTTTACCATCTTTTTAATGCGTGCTGAAATAATGCTGCCCAGTATTTCAGTTTGGCTGGTTGGCACAGCCTGGACAAGGTAACATGCACAAGGGCACATGAATAGTGCCTGCACTTGAGGTTTGAACTCATTACTCCCCCAAGTACAGAGTCCAGGGCCCTCACCACTACTTGATATTGCCAGTAGTT